CTAACAGCCAAATCTGTTGCGACTATTTTATGCTAAAGTAATTCAATTTTATTCAATTGTTTTCATGAAAAGTCCACATATTATACAGTAAAACCAAGTTTTGCTTTTTAATCTAAATATCAATTTGTTTAACAGTTTTTATATTTTCTCTATATTTCGGTTATTAAACAAAGTTTGTATAATAAATTGAGCGATAAATAACAAATAAATTGAATTTGTGATTGATTAGATTTTAAAATATGCAATACTTTATTAGTGATAGACATTTCAACATGATCTTGAAATGAAAATTGAAAAAATAAAGGTAAAAATGACAAAAATGGATGCGTCAGCCGGGAGTCGAACCCGGGTCAACTGCTTGGAAGGCAGCTATGCTAACCGTTATACCACTGACGCTCCCTTAACTTTACTTGTCTACAGGCGTTATATATTATTTCTAAATCTATTTATAAATTTACTATTAAGTATTGTATTTAATTTATTAGTTACAGGTTTTATTTGACATACTTATAGTGAATGAAAGTACAGTATACTCTTTATGTTATTATTTTTAATAATTTTAAATTAAAATAATCTTTTAATTATAATTCTTGTCATAATTATTGTACGGTATGACAAAATGCTGTTTTCTAAATTATGTTAATTAAACTTTTAAATAAATAAATGCATCTTATTATTATAATTGCATTAATGTATTAATTTTATCCTTTTAAAAGGTTAAATTTGTTGTACATCTTATGTCTTATTATTAATACTGTACAATGAAATATATATTTTGGGATTTTTATTGCTTATGAAAATGTTATTCTTGAAAGTTTGGGAAAATATTTTAATTTTATAACTAAATGAGTACATAATTCATTAGAAATACACGTCATTACAAAGTATTATATCAAAGAAAACATTTATTTGTATCAAAATTGAGTACATTTAATTAGCTAAATATAATAATTCGCATAATTGTCTAGCAAAATAAATTATTGCTATTAATTGAAAATAAAATATAAATTGTAATATAATTTCACTTAAAGTTGTCATTATTTCCCACCAGAAGATTATGGCTATTATTGTCGTATTAATCGTGGAATTCAATGCAAAATTCAAATTCTGACTACAATTCTTGCTTTCCATGAATTCCACAATTTCAACGTTAAAACTATAATATTTTTTGATTAATGTGGAAATAATTATGAAATGATTTGCAGTTATTAATTGGCAACAAATTGTGTTTCACTTAATGTTTGAAATCAATTGCTTTTAATCTTATCATTGGTTTGATAGGCCTTTCTGTAGAACTGATAGAACTGGTAGAAGAAGATGGGGTTTTGTGCGAAGCCGAACCAGAATAGTCCGGGAGGAAAGCCTGTCTGTTTGAAAGCCATGACAACCCCATAACAGAAACAGGTGGCGAACTGAAGTAATTGCAACTGGGTGACGTATCGCTTCCACCACAACCATTGGCGCACTTCCGGTCCAAAGGCCGCCAAAGCGTAATATAAATACATAATTGAATGAATCAGTGTATTGAAGATGAGGAAGAGGCCGATGACCGGCGCCTGCGGTGCGATCTTCAGACACACCCATCCGATGAGGGGAACTAATGTGTGATGATATAAGTGAAGGAAAGTGATTTGATTGTACTTTTTGCGCAAAACAAAGAATATGGTGTCGAAGAGGTCCAGAAATCTGGTCAAATAGCACCAGAAGCCCACATGGATCTCATGTATGACTTTATCCGAGTAGTCGTTCCTTTCGGGAAACTTGAAGTTAAGGAAACGACGGCCGGAATCACAGCGTCTGACGATTTCATAGAAGAAGTACATATTGACGACAACCATAAATGAATTGTACAAAAGCATAGGTCCGCGCAATACAAAGGCCGGCCTATTCTTCATAAGAGCCGGTCCTATCTTCTTCACAAACAATAAATACGACACCAGAATAGCGATCACCACTTCCGGCCCTCCCGTCACCAAAGGGAAATGACGGGTGCGGGGGTCGCCCACGTCTATCCAGTACTGTCGACAGTAGTATACAGCAGTCGACGCTATGTTTTGTACACTATTCACCACTGATAACATTTTCTATGACAAACTTTCTAACTTTTTATTGTCAACTAATATTCCATAAAATTAGTAAATTTGATAAAAACTTCACGAAAACACTGAATATAATAACAAAGTCATTGATTGAGGATGAAGTTCATTGCGCTCGAGATGTATGTCTGTATGGGACCAGTGTTTATGAGATGTAAATCAAGTTAAAGAACTTCTTGAGATGTGGTTCACTGTTATGACCCATTGAGCCATTAATCGTTGCGCATGAGTTGGCCCTCAAATACTATACACCGTTACCTAAACTTGTTTTTTAGACCATTTCTTATTAACATAACTTATAATCAACAGAAATTGATGTCGATTTTCAAGTATAAGAATAGTTATCATTCATTCCCTCTCATTGTAAGGACCCATACATTGTGACCCAAATTCTCCAAAAATCAAATAAAAATATTTCTGACAATTAAAAAATGCAAATATTGTAATAACAAGTTATTTGTGATCTCTTATACAATATATTTCCATAAACATCATGTTTTACTAGTTATGCGATTCAATGTTTGCTTTTATTATTGAAATATTTGAGACACACTTATAAATAGGTTTTTGAGACAATCTCTTGTGAATACATATGATTTGTTCGTCAAAATGAATGCAAAGAATAATAATAAGTGATAAAACACTGAATCAAATGTGTTGAGAGTTCATAATTGAGTGATGTATTGAATGCCGGATTTGCATTGAAATAGCATTTCTTTAGATTAGATCCAGTCCAAGACATTTCATCAAAATACACTCAAATGTACGCTAATATCAAACAAATGCCATAAACTTGAATGTGAATAATGAACCGCAACTCCGGTTTTTATGTGATTTTATTAATTTGTATTCAAAACTATTAACCCGCCAAGATACTCAAAAATTGTATCATAATACACATTACATTAACTGAAACACTAATTATAATTGGTCTAAAATATATTCAATCAAACATAATTACGAGAATTTTTATTGAATTGGATTTTTAAAATATATTTTTATTTATTTAACTCCTTTTAGAAGATGTATGAACTAAATAAGAGCTAAAAATCTATTTACTTTATTTGAAAAATAATTTCCGGACACTTTATTGTGAGACTTTTATATAGAATAAAAAATATAATAGTTTTTATTAATTTACACGTTTTGAAGTTATTTCAATTTAAAATATTATTTTTTATAAACATTATGCCCTTTTTCTCACTTTTTGAATACCACATCCTATTTCAATATCCGGATTTGGATTTTTATGTTTAAAATTTATAAAATATTAAGCTTTCATAATTATGCATAAAAATAGATTGAATTAACTAAAAAGTTTTATAAAAATAGAGATAATAAAGTAATTATGAAAAGACAATTTGCAAGCATAAGACTGAGAGCACTGTCTGTTGTTGGTTGTGAGGTTGGTGATGTACTTGGTGGGGGAGTGCTTGGTGGTGTACTTTGGGGCGTACTTGGAGATGTGCTTGAAGTTGAACTTGGTGCAATAGTTGGTGAGCCTGTTGTAATAGTTGATGAGTCAGGTGTAATAGTTGATGAGCCAGGTGTAATTGTTGAGCCAGGTGTAATAGTTGATGAGCCAGGTGTAATTGTTGAGCCAGGTGTAATAGTTGATGAGCCTGGTGTTGGTTCAGCTGTAGGTCCTATAGATGGACAGCCATCAGGTCTAAGACCCTATTAAGTAAATGAATTGGTGTAAAGTTTAGTGGCAATCAATGCATTATTACAAATAATTACCGAATAGTTGTCACAAACAGTTGTCAGGAGGTTGTCCTCAGCATTGGTGTTGTGTTGGTCCTCCACTGTAACCCAGGGAACTGAACCAAAATTAAATGATTAATAAAATAACAAATTGGTTACAATTTTAAATAAGCAATACATTTGTCTGCCTGTGCTGTTTGTGTCAATGTTTGCATTTTCAAATAAGTTTCGATATTGTCGGGTGTGTTAAGTGTGGCACATATTTCAATCTGAGGCCAGGGGTCTAAGAGCCACACTCTGTTGGCGCAGACATTGCCCGCTTCCCCCGGATTCGCTTTCCATGACTCCTGACTGAAGAAGCAAATGACAAATTCTGTGATATGTAGCCATCCTTTCGGGGTATTAGAGTACTGATCGATAGCACAGGCCTTTCATATATTTGAATGTTAAGACAATATAAGTAAATGTTTTTCAAAATAAAGTTTCATCTATTTTTACATGTATTCTATTGGCTAAGCATTCGGTATCAGTTGGACACGTGAATGGCTTATCGGTGTCGCCTTCATTATAGACAGTCTGACCCCACGGTATAAAACTTGTGCTTATAATTGATTGCAAAGCTTTGGCTCTCGTTGGAGCGGATTCCTCGTAAAACGGTTTCAATTGGTTGTTCACCCAATTACTAGACGTGTCATCACTTGAGTAATAGAAACCGATGTCAACCAACACTTTGCCGATTGACGAGCAAACGGCCGGTCGGACCGTCTAAAGGGACAACACATTTGCATTGTATTAAACTGTATGACTGAGACTGTATTAGGTACAGATGTACTAGGTCATTAATAATATTACTAACCGGATATGACTCGCAGATAGCGTGAACTAAATTAGTTTCCCCTTCTATGGTATAGCTATCACCAATAGTGACCCAGGGTACTTTTGTCAACTTGGGATTCAATGCCTCTGTTTTCTTAGCCAATTCTTCGTAAAGTGCGATACCATCGGGTCCGTGAGCACAGGTCTCGATAGTATCCCAATAGTCTCCACCCATTTCCTGGTTGAGACACTGGTTGGCGTCGTTCACCGGATCAGAAGTACTCTTTTCGAAGGCACAGATCAGGAATCCAAGAGTTCGGTAACGACTTTCATCTAAGTCCATAACATTTGAATGATCCAGTTTTTCCCAGAAATTGTGGTAAACACACGCCTTTAGTTTAAATGAAAAGCAATTAATTCACTAAATGTAACAAGGTTGAGTTATATTTACGTGAACTTTGTTGGCGTTACACTGGGCCTCATTTTGAGGACATTTAAATCCAGTTCCGTCTCTTTCTGTGAGACCATAAGCAACAAAATCAATAGAAGCCAACTCCTCAAAGTATGGCCGATAGGGTTTGATTTGTTTGTCCACAAACTCGGCAACCGATGTCTCCATGTTTTGGTAATTAATAGAAACGGACAGTAATTCGGGAATACATTGCAAAGGCTTATCAGTCTATAGTACAATATAATAATAAAATATAATTAATCAAGTCAATAAATGAGAACAGTTAAAATTTATACTAACAGGGTAAAATGTTTCACAAATCTCTTGCACGAGATTGTCCTCCGCCTCTACATCGTGTTTGCCATTCACTAGAATCCAAGGAGTATGAGACAGCTTCGGGTTCAATGCGGCTACAATAGCCGCCGATTCAGCCAACAGTTGGTCGCCCCTACTCTTGGCACACAGGTCTATATCAGTCCAACTGTCCACAAAGTGCTGGTTTACGCATTCCTCGGTCACTTGCGGCACATTTGACATATCAGAGCCAAATGCACACAACAAAAAGTCTATTGTTTCCGTTGGCTTACTCTCGAGGAATAGTGTCCTAATACACGCCTGTATTTGTCATTAATTAAGAATATTGTTTAGAGACAATTCAAGTGACAATAAAACATGGTAACCGACGTGTTGTTTGAATGTATGGCATTCCTCATCATTAGGACACTGGAAGGTATTGTCGCTATTCTTAATGGTTCTGCCGTAAGGAATAATATCCAAACGAATTATCTCATCCACGTGTGTCTTCAAGTGATCCAATTGAGAGAAGTATGGCATTCCTCATCATTAGGACACTGGAAGGTATTGTCGCTATTCTTAATGGTTCTGCCGTAAGGAATAATATCCAAACGAATTATCTCATCCACGTGTGTCTTCAAGTGATCCAATTGAGAGACAATAAAAGTTTGAGAATCTTTGTTTAAGGGCTCGTAATGTAACTCCACGATTGGTTTTTGGAGGGGCGGTGGGGGTGCATAACAGGCCCATGGTTTCCATTTACCCTTTAATTACAAATTTTAATTAATTTTAATTTTAATTTAATTTTAAATTTACGAATCGATAAAAACCGACAAATAATACCTCATAAGAGTCACAAACGGCTCGACTTAAGTGCACTTCAGATGCCTGACTGTGTTTGCCTTCGATGACAATCCATGGCGTGTATCTAAGGGGTGGTATGAGAGCCGCCACCTTCTCCTGTTGCTGTGCGAAGTAGGCGTCGTCTAATTGGACGCATTCATTGATTTGTGTCCACTCGTCCACAAAGACTTGATTAACGCACTGTTCGCCCGCTTTTATCGGGTCAGACGGCCAGCTCTCGTGAGAGAAATAGCAGTTTATGAAGAGTAATGTCTGTAGCTTTCCGTCATAGTCTATGTTGTCGCCGATGGGGTCGTCGTCGTTATGCCAGAACTCTTTGATTACACACGTCTACCGTTTGGCAGAAATAATTGTAAACTTTATTAACATTCGTTTCAATACTGACGTGAATCTTATTGCCGATGCACTCATTGTCACCGTTAGGACAGGTGAACACATATTTGTCGGAATCGTCTTTTGTGAACGTCGTCTCTCCGAAAGCAATCAATTCCAAGTCAAAGATCTCCTCTATGTCTCTATACGATGGGTACAACTCGTCCAACACATAGTTCTTTACCGACAGATCGCCCGTTTGGTAATGAAATTGGAGTTTCACTTTAGAGGGACGCACTTCTTCGCAGACTTCCGGCAAATCTCCCTATTGTTCACAATTTATTTAAACAAATTATTATCTCATTAGAGATTACTTTAAAATTAAGGCGTTGTATAGATTTATAAGCACCAGTGTGTTACTGCAGATCACTTGTTGGAGTTGAGTCTGAGCAAGGGCACTTCTCTCGCCATTGATGACAATCCACGGCGAGTGTTGTAGTGGTTGTCTAAGGTTGGAGGTGCGACCGGCCATCTCTTGCATCAATTGGTGTCCCTCTTCGCTCTCCGCACACGTCAACAGATCCAACCAAACGTCTTCCAAGAATATGTCGTCCGCACACTTTTCACCCACTTTTGTGATCACCTCATTGTCCACATTCTTGAACATACAGTATATGAACAGAAGTGTCTCATTCTTTCTGTCGTATTCCGTAATAACTTCTCCGTCTCCTGGATGTAAAAACCTTCTGATGGCACACGCCTTACGACACAATCAATAAGATATTTATATATCAATAATATTAGAAAACTTTATTAATTATATTTCAATACTGACTTGAATTTTATTTCCCAAACACTGGTTTTCACCGGCGGGACAGTCAAAGACTACATTATCTCCCTCTCCACTCATCACTGTTTTGCCGAAAGGAATGAAATCAAAAGTAAATGATTCCCTCATGTTTTCAAATGTGAGTCTCAGTTCGTCCACAAAGAATCTTCTGGTTTGAGGATTAAGTGTCTCGTAGTATATCTCGACGATTACGGGCTCACACTCCAGGGGTTTGTCGCCCTAAGTAAGCAATCATTTGGTTGAATATAATATTCAAATAAAAACATTTGTTAATCAAAATGGGTTTACGGTATATAAGTCGCAAACAGTTTGCAGCAAATCGTTGGCCGTTTGCAGACTGTGTCGTCCGGTCTCCATAACGTACGGCACCGGCGAGAGACGATTCCCGGGTATAGTGTCTGTCAGGGCTTTGGTCTTCTCCTGCACCGTCTTATAAGTCTGGTGTCCGCTCTCCACTTTGCTCTCTATTAAAATGGTTATCCAGTCATCCATTGGTAGATAATTGTTCACACATTCCTCCGCAGCAGTTAGATATCCGTCCGCATTGTTCCAGTCTTTGTGGTTGAAAACACACTCCAAGAAATGTGTAGTTCTTATACTGCCATCAATTTGATCTCCATTATCATCACTCAGCCACAATTGATTTATTATTATTGCCTTTATAAAAATTAATAAACTTACTGTATCTGGATTTAAATGTTTTTAGTTGAAAGCAAATCTTTTTACCTGTAATTTGTTGGCCACACATGCGGCCAGATTTGTGGCACATTTGCCATCAATATCAGTGCCATCCTCCACATTGCCATTGGGAAAGAGCTGAATGTCAACCAATTCCTCGATGTGCTTATAATTAGGCATTTGTTTTGTGAAAAAGGTTTTCGACAATGAATTCATGGATTCATAATAAACTTCGATTGGAATTTTGGGTGCCTTTCCGGTAATACATTTGTCTGGTTTGTGGTCTTCATCCTTATAATTATGGTTCAAATTAGCTCTAATTTAAAGTCAATACTGTATTATCAAAAAATAAATCACTCACAAAGTGTTCGCAAAGAACTTTAATGAGATCAGTGTTGGCATCTGTCCTAAGCTCGCCATCAATGGTAATCACAGAAATTAGCTCTAATTTAAAGTCAATACTGTATTATCAAAAAATAAATCACTCACAAAGTGTTCGCAAAGAACTTTAATGAGATCAGTGTTGGCATCTGTCCTAAGCTCGCCATCAATGGTAATCACGGGTATTGTTTGTTCATTGATGTTAAAGCCTGAACTGTGTGTTATTTCGATTATATTATCGAAAATACCCTGAACATCGTGATCCATGCAGTCCTTAATCTGAGGCCATGGATCCACTTGAATGGTACGTTCAGAGCACTGTTCAGCAGCCGTATAGATTCCGACCGCGTGTTTATTCTTAGCGATGCAGTGAATCACTTCCATTACCTCCTGTCTGATAGGGTCGGCCCAATCGGAACCGTCGTTCCAGAAATAGTCGATAATACAGGCCTATCACACAAGTTGTATAAATTAATTGAATTATTTCAATTTAGTAGCATGATCAGATAGATTTTACCTGTAGTTGATTACCAATACACTGATCAGGGCCATCAGGGCATTGAAAGCCACCATGCTCATCTCTTGTTGCTCTTCCAGCAGGCAATAGCTCTAAATTAATAAGATTTTGGAAGTGATTGAAAGCAGGTTTGAGTTCTTCCATAATAAAGCGCCGGGACTTATGGTTGAGTGCCTCGTAATAGACGTTTACATTAATACGCGTACATACGCTGGGTTTGAATCCCTATAAGACATCAATACAATGGTTATTGATTTAACAGTATTAAGTTAATACTATTAACTCATTCACTGCTTCTAACACTTACATCATATTTGGCACAAACTTGTTGTACGAAATCATTGACTGCCTGAACATCGGCCTCATTATTGACGGTCGCGAATGGAATCCTCGGCAAAGGAGACCCTGGGGTTGGGTTCACTTTGTCTGTCTTCTCTCTCATCGTCAAGTATATGGGATCGCCGTCAGCACTGGTAGCGGTCGTTAAGATATGTATCCAGACATCTGGTGGTAAGTAATTGTTGGAACACTGTTCTCCTGCTGTGTATATGTTTTGCCACTTCTTATGAGTACTCATGCAGTCAATGAATCTAATGACACGACTTGGACCGTCCACTTCATCACCATCTTTAGTGGCCAAGTAATCGTTGACAACCACTGCCTAGAAATCATATCTTCATTGATTAGCTTCAAAAAAAGGATTTATATTCAGTTTCTTACCTGAATTCTGTTAGCAATACACAAATCATCAGAATCGCACGTAAACTTGTTATCAGTGTATTGGGTGTTCCCATAAGGAATCAGATCAATATCTACGATATCTTCGAGGATGTGATAGAATGGTTGCAACTGGTGGTCAAAATAGTTGCGGGTGTCTGTGTTTAATGTCTCGTAAAACACAGATAACTGCACTTTAGCCCCTTTGGCAACATTACATCTTTCGGGTTTCTCAGTGCCTGTCTGTGAATGCAATTAAATCATTACTTATTCAATCATTACAATCACAATAACAATGCTTACAAATGCATCGCAAATGGCTTTAACTAAGTCTTGTGTGGCCTCCTCTGTAATGGGCTGTGAATCGAGTTGAACAGCCAGACCATTCTTTAGACTATCTTTTATTGGTGTAGTCTTTGCCTCCATTTGATCAGTGAATTTGTTGCCGTCCACACCGGCCACACACTCGGCGATTGAGGGCCACTCGTCAAACAGATCCAAAGTAGCGCAATGAGGGCCCACAAGACTGATGTCTTCCATCTTTTTATTCTTGAACATACAGTGAACGAAAAGGGCCACACCTTTCTTCACCTCTTCAGTTGGTGGCTGTCCATCATTGATGATACCAATGGCACAGGCCTTACATTTAACAGTTTCATATGAATTAGTTATATAAATAAAACGATAGTTTTCAATCTTTTAAAAGTTGATCTTTAATACCTGAACTTTATTGGCCAAACACTGTTTATCACCAAATGGACAAATGTAATTGTTTTCATTTTCAGGATCTTTTCCAGTGTTCCCATAGGGAACAAAATCCAAGTCAATTATCTCCCATAAGTAGTCGATTGCGGGTCGAACTTCTTCCACGAAGAACTTTCGATTGACTGCATTCAGGGTTTCATAATATATTGTCACCTTTACTTTCTCTCCAACTCGAGTCTGGGTTCAATCAAATAACTTATATTAGATTGGAGCTTTTAATATAATCAATCAACTTATACATCATACACTATAGAATATTTTTCTATAATAACTAATTCTTTAATAGGTTAAAATTATTAAATTAATATTAGGTAATATTAATTAAATTATGGATTGTATTGATTTAAACTTACATTTGTATCATCCCTTTGTATAACTGAAGAGAATGATTGATGAATGAGAAATGCATTTAAAATGAATATAAGAAATGTATTCATTACTTGAGAGCACAAGTTACCTGAGCGAAATGGTCTACAATATCAAAGTTCTAGCTCTTAAAGTATTGGAGTGAAAGTCTAAATATTTTAATTAGCCTTTGATTTAATCAAACTTTTATTCAAGTTTTTAATGGTTATTTAATTGAACGAAATATTTATTAAATCATTTCTATGTTTTTCTTCTGTTTCAAATCAAATCTTTTTTTAATTGTTTGATAAGTTTATAACACTATTAATAAAATTTATTTCAAAATACAAAGTTTTTTATACATTTACAACTATTCTTGAGTTTATATGACTCTGTGTTTTTGAGAAAACAATTTATGTTAGTGCAAAATCTAATCTAATTAAGGTTACACTGCTAATTCTTTATTAAATATAGAATAATTTCTTGAAGTTACTTAAAAACAAATAAAATGTTCTTTGACTTTTAAATAAAATTATAATTTATTTTAACTAAATATTTCAATATAATTCATAAATTGTCAATCAAACTATAGTTTTTCTAAACAAATTGTTTTCAAAAATAGAGTACTGTATCTAAAATTGACTTATATTTAAATACATTGTTTACTAGTAATCTTTTATTGGTTTTTAACACTATTTAATTCAAATACTCTTTTATTATAAATATTTATAAAGCAAAACACTTCAAAATTCATAAGTTTATTAACTTTTATTTATAATTTTTTATTTAATTATTTAATACATTATTTAGTTAATTTAAATTAATACTAATAAATTAAATATTGATTTTAATACTGAATATTAGCTATGGACAAAATAAAACGATCACCAATTATAGGCCACGGCCCAGGGACAGATTGTTGACAGAATATAAATAATTACAAATAACATATAAGTGACCGGGAATATAATTCTTGAGGCATAATCTACTTTATTTCTACTCAAAGGATCCTTAGTATAATCGATATTTCCAAACACATAATACAAGATATTGCCGACAAGTCTTCCGCAGTGACAGAAAATTCTCTTATTTGTGTAGACATTGGTTTTCGGCACTTCTGTGAAACCCTAAACATATAAAAATATAATTCAAACAAAATTTTATTAATATGACAATTATCTGATATTAATAATTATGATGATGACAATATGACAATGTGTGCAATTGTTATAGATTTGATTTGAAAGTACATTAAAGTACACCCATATCTACAGTCCTTTACTTGCGATTTAAGTTATCTTATGTTTAATAATAAAATTAAATGATCGCAAAAATTCAGAAATGCAGACCTGAGTGGTGCGCAAAGCCTTCCTATCGTTGGCCATCCAGGCCCAGGATATGGCGACCGCGAACTCTATGAGACTCATGAACACGAAAAATATACAGACAGTCATCCACCAGTGGAGGGCCAC